TTCTTAAACACATTTTTAAACAAACACTAAACAAGTTTAAACCCTTGTTAAACTTTTTAAAACATCTCTTGGATTGCCATGAGAACTGAGATCAATGGAGTGTTTATAGCCTCCCAAAACCTCAGCCAAAAGCCCAACAGAAATGATAAAAAAACCAACAGAATCGAAAATTAGATTCTGTACAAAATGACCGTTAGAGTGAACGGCGGTCGACGGGGGGGGGGGGGGGGAGCCATTTTCGAGGCTCAGAAAATTCCAGAAACTTTGACGGTCGACCGTGGCGGTCGACCATGGGAATTTTCGAGCTGACGGTCGACGTGACGATCAACCGCGAAAGTTGCTGATGGCTCCGTAGGGAAAATCAAAGGCGCGGTCGACCGTGGCGGTCGACCGTAAACTGACATATGAGAAAACAAGTTTGAAAGTTAATTGGCGCGGTCGACCGTGGCGGTCGACCGTAAACTGACATATGAGAAAACAAGTTTGAAAGTTAATTTTCTGATTTTAAAACCATGTTTAAAAATATCAAATAAATTCTAAAAAATATAAAACTTTGAAAAATGATTGTAGACATGATAATAAACATGCTACAAAGACTGGTTTTCAAAAAGGACTTCCCAAATAAAAAATATCATCATTTTGCAAAATAGTCCAAAACATGAAAATATATACATATGAGTTTTGACATTTTAGCTTAACCATGTTTTGAAACAATACAAAATAATTTTATAGACTTAAAGAAAGATGTAAACTATTGTTATGAAGTCTATAAATAATGAATATATTATTTTTACAAATACACATATAATGCACTAAAACATGATTTCATTGAACTAAATAAAATTGATAATGATGAAATCATATATATGCATGTAAGTATGAAACAAAAATATGTTTTCTAATTATATTCAATTGTTTCATATTAAAACTTAAAAACTATCAAACTAAAACATATATGTGTATATATATATATATAACTATATATATACAAAACCAAAACGTGTATGTGTGTATATGATTGAGCTTAAAGTACTAACACACATAATATAAACCTAAAACTAAATTTATCCAAGCTTGTGATATTCAACGAAGCTCTATCTTGGTACACTCGCGGATGAAGCTTGAACTTGAATCTTTAACTTGAATTGCAAGGCTTCAACCACTATTCCACCAACCTTCATTTGATATAATCGTTATGGCGCAAGCCATCCATCCTCCAACACGTTGTTTGCCTAGAATAAATACAAAAACACAAATACTAGACAAACAACATTTCCATCCTCCAACACGTTGTTTGCCTAGAATAAATACAAAAACACAAATACTAGACAAACAACATTAGAAGTAAATTGTCTAGAATAAATACAAAAACACAAATACTAGACAAACAACATTAGAAGTAAATTGTTTGTTAAACATCATTAAAACAAGAAGCCCAACAATGAGAGCCAGAGACAAATGTGAACGCGCAAATGTGAACGCGCGTGGGGACCACATGCAAGTGTGAACTAGGTTTATAAAGAGATGTGGTTTTCTCTAGGGTTTTTTGTGTGCGAGGTGAGGGGAAATCAAAAGGCAGCGTGCAGAGCTGTGCAAAGGCAGAGGTGTGCGGCTTTGGAGAAAATCGCAGGAGCAAAAAGGGTGTGTGTGCAGAACTTTAGGCTTCGTGCAAATAAGCTTTTGTGCTGTTGAGAGAGATAATTGTGTGAGAGGTTTGAGAGATTGTGTGAGGGTTTAATTTGTGAGGACTGTAAACCCTAATGTATTCTCTCCTCTCTAATAGTAGATATTCCCCCTCCTTGCCCCGTGGACGTAGGCAGTTTGCCGAACCACATAAAATCGTTTGTTTTGTGTTTGTGGTCATTATAATAGTTTTTAGGATCCATCGACAAGTCAGTCTTAGAACTGATGAGAGGAAGAGCCGATATCTCACTTTGTTGAGATATTCGCTTCAGTCGACAAGTCAGTCTTAGAACTGATGAGAGGAAGAGCCGATATCTCACTTTGTTGAGATATTCGCTTCAGATTCTTGTTTCGATATCTCACTTTGTTGAGATATTCGCTTCAGATTCTTGTTTCCTTGGTGAGACGGGAATTCTTATTGAGATCTTTTTCTCTTATTGTGCATCAGAAACTCTGCCAAAATTTCTGCCGTGCACAACAGTATACGCAAACAAAAATCATAATTGTCTACTATAAATGGTAAACTATATATGGTTTAATAAATGAACTTTTCAAATTGCAATGTAAACTTAATATGCGTACCCCTTGTGATAGAGTAGTAATTTGAGATTTTGCAGGGTTCTCAGTGACACTGAACTGCGTGTCCATGAAGTCGGACGCTGAGGATGGATGCCGCTGAAAAAGCTTCTCAAATTTAAAAAAAAAACAAAAAAGAAGAAGAAGAGAAGGGGTAAATTTCACACAAAAACCACTAATGTTGGACTGTTTTGCATAAGATTATAACATACTCGTTATTAGGAATTTTGTTTTTTAATAAGAATTTTTTTACTGAACTACAATATAGTGATAGGAGTTACGATGCAAACATGGACAAGTCTTAAAATGGAATAATTGTTAAAATGGGGATAATTTTGAAAATGAGATAATTTTTTGAAGTGATATATCTGATAAAATGGTATGGGATAATTTTTTATAATTAAGAAATATTAGTATTACAAATTAATAATTTGTTTACAGTTTACTATAATATGTTAACTGATCTTGAATAACTATTGGTTAGAGTATGAATATTGACATACTATCATTTATTATAATATATATTTGCAACTTTTTGATTTGTTTTGCATTATCTTTGTAGAAGAAGTCTAAAAATATTTAAAGTTTTGATATTTCCTTTTTCGTTGCTCCACATCTTTTTCCCTCATCCCTAAATATAGCCAACTTTCCCTCTATTTCCAAGTGTATGAAAGAGGAAAAGTTTAGACCTTTTATGGCTTAATGTCAACTTTCCTTCATCTGCGGAACTTTTGTATCTACCATATTGTCAACTTTCCCTCTCCTAAGTGATTTTATCCGTATCTTTTTTTTTTTAGAAAAAAATTGGAGAGGGAAATTATTTTCCAGTAATCTCCTTTTTTAATTATATTCTAATAATACAAAACAAGTTTAATTTTGGAAATTAATTATGTCAACACTGAAATTATCTTTCTCAGCAGTTATAATTATTTATTGCAATTCCCTGCATATTATCATATAACTATTTTGTTCAAAATGTAGCAATCACTCTAAAAAATTTAAAACACTACAAATCAAAATTCAAATTTAGTGATCTTTTCTATAAAAAAAAAGCGAATTATACTTATTTAATTAACAAATCTCATCAATTAAACTCATATAACAAACATAAAGTCAGGGGGGGAACCTGTTCAAGGGGATAATAAGGATCATGAACAAAATCAGGCAACAAAACAGCAACAAACACAACAGCCTCAACTCTCTCAGGTACCGTTTGACAAAGGGTTAAGTGAGGGGTTAAGGAGACTTAACCCATTCTTAACCCGCCAAACATAAAAAATCTATACAAGGGTTAAAGTGGGTTAACCTTTCATAATTTGTCAAACATAAAAAATATAGAAGGGTTAAGCTAACCCCTCTAGAGGGATTAAAATGAGTTAACCCCTCAAAATGAGGGGTTTACTAATACTTCTATTTAGAATGATTAAGAGTTTAACCCTTCTAATTATAAAGAAAATAGTTAAAATCATTGTTATTCCCAAACACTAAAACTGATCACAAAGGCTAAAATAAAACTTATTTAACGGGTTAATAATTTAGTCCTTCAGATTATCGAATAGGCTAAGTATATTAATCCTTCTCTGTAACCAAACCTACACTCAGCCCACCAAAGCTATGACCAACCAAGACCACCTTCTCACCGGCTGGAACCTTTTCGACAATATTGATCAACGGCCGAGAATACTCGGTAAACGTCGATATCTAGCCAATCCGACGGTCGTCAATCCCCGAAGCCGCAAGGTCCGGGACCGTTATTTGTTGGCCGGCGGCTTGGAGCATTGTGGCTAGTTTGTACCACGACCATGCTCCATGACATGCTCCGTGGACTAGGACTATGTGGTGTTTCATTGAATGTTTGTTTTGATTTGAGGAGTGAGAGCAGAATAAAGAGTGCAAATATAGTGTTACATAGTCTCCATGATATCCTATATACCTGTATATTAGTTAGTATATTCTCTCTTTATTTTCTATATGGTATTTAGCTTTTCTATATTAAATCTCTTATCATATTAACAAAAGTTGCGTCATATTTAAGGATATGAAAGAAAGACAAAAAATAAAATCTTAATTAGAACAGTGTTTTTAATGTAGAGCAATAAACATTTAGCATCTTGTTCTTAGCTCTTGTACCCTAGCTCAGAACACATAATGATGGATGTAGTACTGGACTGAAACCCCTTTTCTACAGGGGACCATGGTCCATAAATTGTAGTAAGTGTCCAGCGACATATGAATCAATATTGATAAGTGTACATAGAAATCTTGAGAAGAGAGATAAGAATACAAACATACTTTGATGCTTCATTCTCTTAGCTATCTAAGGAGCAGAGTTTCCTGTTCTCGCTTGGATACATATAGAGAGCAATTTATTTTTAGGGTAGATTTCAAAAAACTAACAAGAACATTCCAGTAAATTTCTCACAAAGTTATCATAATTTTTTTTTTACTAACTATCATTATCTTCTTTTGTTAGATTAATACGTCTAACCGGTAATTAGGATAAGTTCTTAGACAAGTATACATATCCTCTATATTACACTTCATCCGCTCCTTTAGCTAAGTTAACGTTTTATCCAAGTCATTACGATTAGCACCAATTTTTTAATAAGTGATGATAATTTTCTACTGATCTTGAGAGTTCATGACAGTGTTTCTAATAAAACTTGTTCATAGTATTTCTAAATTAAATGCTAATTTAGAATTTTCTGCGTGCAACATTTACTACATTTACAATTTCAATGTACCAAACAACCTCTTAAACTAATGCTATAGGGATTAACTGATGCACTCATCAGTACATTCACCAATACAATACAAGCTCATCAACCGCAAATAATGGCATCTTTGAAGATTGCTGGAAAATTCTAAAAGCTTCTTTAGAAAACCATCACACAATCCATAAAAAAAACGCCGATAAACAACAAGCTTAGGGTACAATTGGTGAAATGCATAAAGAAACACAACCAACCCAGAGCGTAGAGAAGAGGCTGCTCCTGTCACCTAGTTCATTCACGCTCCTGTACAATGTTAACTCTTGTAAGGCTCACTTTCGAACGAAGGCAACGAGGAACACATGAGACCCTCCGTCACCATCGTGAGATGTCTCGAAATGATCAAGGTATTGGAAGACAGCAGGTTCTCCGCCTTCTTCTTGGTGTAGTCCATCAGCCCTTATCCTTCTTCTGTTTAGGGTCTCCACCTCTTGCAGTAACTCATCCTTCATGTTGTTGCATGATGCAATGACCTAGTAATAGAAATGAATAAGATACCATTACAGCCTACAGCGAGAGAAGAAACTATATTTTGTGTAACTAGATTTACAAGGTTGCATACCAGTGTTCCGCCGGAAGCAACCAAGTTTGATACAGACTCCCAATATGAAATTCTGAAATCATTACCAGAAACAAATTATTAGTTGAAATGGTGTAATGTTGCACCAGATTAGGCTCACAAACAAAATTTTCACTTGAGATCGACAACATGAGCCATTAAAATGCATGAGAGCTACACAAAATGAGTTGTGTTTTCTATCCTGATGATAGTTGATGCACTCACTCTAAATGTTAAGATAGATAAACAAATGAATATGACAGCCCGATACAATAAAACTGTGAGTACCGTAACATTGTATATTGTATTTACCTTTTAGCTGGACCATCTGGATGCATCCCAATGGAATCTAGAGTGCCCTTGTCCATGACAAGGTGGTATTTTTTATCCAGTTTACTCTCTAGAATATCATCAACCTATAAAAAGTCCCATGAGCCCAAGTTATGAAACCCAGATTCATAATTATAAATATTAATACTACATAATTGTACCATATTTAACTACAAAAGAGGAAATAAAAGAGTTGATAATGCAGTAACAAGTGATTTGCTATGGCCCAATGTTTAATCCGTTGAGAGGAAGTTTTTCACTATATCAGGAAGAAGGTGGAAGTTTACCACCTTTTTTGTTCATAGTGGATTATAATTATGCGACTAAAATTACGATGATATAAAAGGAACCTTTAGCTAATGAGCTACTAGATGTTTAACCATTGAACTTGCGCATAAATAGATGTTTAAGCTTTGAAGCCAACAGGGAAAATTATTTATCAACGAGCAGCAAATATGAGCAATTTCCGGGGTTAGTAGCTTGCCAACAAGAGCATGCTACTTCAAATTCAATTGAGTAGTTCATGCCGAAGAGGTTATTGATATATGATTTCTGTGATTAAGGTAAGCTGTAAGATACTAAGTGTGACAGAAGGTCCAAAAAGATGATTTTTGACAACTATAAATACTGTAATTGAACTTCTACAACAGCAAACATCTGTTGCTAGATGTAACCAGCCAGTATAGCAACAAGGATATTGCATGTGACCACGTGATATTGCAAACTAGATGTAACAACTCAACAATAATGCAGTCACCATTAGATGATATGGATGGTTTCTTACAACAAACAAATGACATACCAAAAATTTAATGTAGGAAAAACCATCACGAGCAGCAAGGTCCTGTGCAAGTTTAATTGCTGCTCTGCTATAATCAATTCCAGTCAGATCAGAAAACCTGGAGGTTGATTTGTCAGCAATTCTTCTTGTAATAGATAAATACAAACTAACTATGCTGGTTGTTGAAACTACAATATTAGAAGCCAACCTGCTCCTATTAGAAATTTGGACAAGGCCCTACAATTAACAGCAGTTACTAACTTAACTGTCACAATCTTAAAAAACATCAAGCAACAATGTACACACACCATAAGGATAAATAACTAGCATTAAATTTATATATTTTTGAGCCAGGTGGTTTTAGGTGTAAATTTTACCTAACTGCACAGGTTTATAAAAAAATCTGTTGAAATTATAATTGCAGAAATATGCTAAGATAAACAAGCATATAAGACCAACAACGCTTTATGGATCAGAATGACAGAAATAAAAAACATGTGCAAAAAATGAGTGTAGAAAAAATGTGAATGTTACAATGTTCTAGTAGATATACATTAAAAGACTGTATAAGAAACAAATGCATTCGTAGGAGGTTAGAAGTTCCTCCTATCGAGGATAAAATGAGAGAGAATTGATTGAATGTTTTGGACATGTAGAATGGAAGTCACTAAATGCACTAGTTAGGAGAAAATTGATAAAATTGTAGTTAACGAGGCAAAAAGGACTAAAGGTAGACTTAGAGAACATGGTCAAAAATTATTTAAGAAGGATATGATAATACCTAATGGAGGGATGACCCATAATAGAAATGAACGAAAGAAAATAATTTTTGTAGCCGAACAGAGAAAGGATAAATGGTCTGTAGTAGTTGTTGTTGATGCTGTTTTGTCAACCCAAAATAGTATAGCCCAATAGATCAACCAACATTTTCAATATACATCTAAGAAGATCGTTGATCACCAGTAGACTGTAGGCCTAACTGAACCAAAAATATTGGTTATAGATTGCAGAACGTATCAGGTAACACAGTGTTCCCACTTGAAAATACTCGTGTACATTTGTTCATACTTCGTCTCAAAAATAAGATGCATATGGTTTGCCTACTCTATCTCCTGGTCTGATAGAATGAATTGTACTGTGTCGCTGAAGAGAGTAAGATACAAGCTCTTTATCCCAAATCTATAAGCCATTGGAAAAACATATGCAAGTAAATTAATCTTCTCATCAATCTGCTATGAGAGTCCTCAAAGTAAATTCAAACAACCCTACATCACATGTCCTGCAGCATACTGTAATCCAATATTATCAAACAGAACTCTTCATGAGCCAAGATGGAATAGATCAGCATTGTTTTGAATATAAAGGATTCTCAACTTATATACACTTCAAAATGGGAAGAGCTAAAGAAATTTGTAAAAGGTTACTAATTAAATTTTGAAAATCAAGTTGACATATGCTCCAGAATAATACCCCTGCTTTGCAAGTTCCTGCAGAAGCAGACCGTTCCCAGTTCCAATGTCAAGTACACTCAAATTAGACAAGCCATTGTCAGAATCAGTTAATTCAGATTTACTACTGGTGCTGTTATCAGCATTCTGTCCCTGATATATGTTCATGCACAAACCTTTCGTCCAAGCCAGAGTAGCATCCATAACTTTGCTACCAAACCTGAAAAATATGGAACCGAATAACCAGTTTCTTTGTTAAGAAATACTCCACACAAAAAAATATGCAAATGTAAATTTAACCATAGATAAGAAAATTTTCCTGAAAATGTAAGGGAGAAATAGATCATAGGGTCACCATAATAATAAATATTACCAGGAATGATAGACCGTAAGGTCACCGACAAATGCATCATTTGTTTGTTTAGCTCAGAGCGCTTTCAGGATAAATGTTAATTATTTGACAAATACTCACCAAACTTCACTAGCACTTCCATGTTCATGAATATTTGTAAGGCATTCAGCATAAGTTGCATCCCAGTAGCTTTGTAATCCCAACATAGATGCTTCAACCTCATTTGCATCTGGCACATCCTTGTCAGAACTGCCTCACCAGTAAAATCACAAAGCTAAAAAATTAACAAAGTGGTATTTGAAAATATATCTTGATATTCATCATGGAACAAAGTGCCAACATGAGAGGAAATTGTTAATTGTGTGAAAAATAACATAGACCAAGATGGTTTGCAACTTGTAATGCATGCTTCTTTTGCTTTTATAAGTAGCAAGGACACAAAAAATGCATAAGAGCATGTAGCTATCTCAAAAAATTTGTAAGGAATAACCACAGTGATCAGGAATATTTCGAGTTAATCAGGCAAATGTTTTTTTGTTTTTTTCTTTTCCATTTTTTTCTTCTTCTTCTTTCTTTCTTTCTTTTTTTCTTTTTTTTTTTTTGGTGGGGGGGGGGGGGGGGGTTAGTAAAATGTTGTACAAAATACTGTTAGAATGTGCTGTGGAAATATATAACTATAGAAAAGATGATTTCCATGTGTAAGATTTGATAAAAATCACATGGAAAAGCATATGGAAAGTTGGAAACCATTCAAACAAAGGGTTAGCTCGAAAATTAAGCTGTTTGCACCCAATACCATTATAATAATTTAACTTACCTTGAAATTTGTTTTATATCTTATATGATAAATACACATTGACTTGAAACTTCTAATAACCTAAAAATGTACCTTAATGAAAAGGGGTGACATTACATTGGGGTTTCGACACTGATTTAAAAGTTTCTTTAAAAATAGCATTGGTATCATTTGGACTGAAAACATAACAGTTATTGAGCCAAAAGTATAATTCAATTACTGTCATGGACCTTTACTTAATCAAGAATAAGGAGTTTACCCAAGAGTGGGGCCAATGTTTAGATGCAGAGCCTAGCCTATATAGAAGTTAAAATTAGTGGGATCTGAGGGTGGAGCAGTTGAATTTTTTAAGCTTGACCAGTTCATTAGCTCTTCCCCCTGCTTCATTTTTTTTTCCCTCAAAATCTTCAAACTTGTAATGACTGCACTGAATACCGACTAAACCCGTGCGAATAATCATCAGCCAGGCATAACAAATTCAATCAACCAGGATGATGACAAGCTTCTCGGTAAGAAATTCAGTTTTATAGCAGAAGGCAAATGCTTAAAGTGAAAAAAACTGTAAACATCATACCAAATTTATGGAACCAAAAAGTTAAAAGAGCACGTGTGTGTGTGTGAACCCCCCTATTAACTTGGTGATATTTAACCACTTAGATTCTCAAAATTAATGTTATAAACCAGCTTCTAGAGTTTTTTTTAAACCGATTCAGATAAAAAAAACTTTCGGCTCAAATTTTTATAAGTCAAACATGTCTGTTTTGAGTTAACTGATTTTCTCTAGTGATCGAATCGGGTTGTATCGTCAATAGATCCTTCTGAAGAATTTTTCCTATAAAAGAGTAGCTCAGCTACATTCCTGTACGATGAATACAGCAAAAGATCATCCGTCCATAATAAGTTCATAAACCAGTCCATAATGCATCTCAATCTTTCATCAATTTAATAGAAATATATAATATCAATATTATATGCCCACAACAGGACCAACAAATCCTTTATGCCAAACTTTTGGGGTTTTCATTTTGTTAAAGAGTATAAAATTTTAACCTTCCATCCTCTCCAATTCAAATCCCGTCAGCCACAATTTTAAAGCAGTTAAAAGAATAACTGCATTAGTTCAGGTTTCAACTCATAAGAAGGACCATTAACTTGCAGGGGCATGTTAAAAGTATAAAATTACAACCCTTAACTCTCGCAACAACACTTCGGGGTCTCCTCATTGCCCTCCTTTCCTAGAATAACTGTTTGCATCATTCTTTTTTGTTTTAAACAACCTCAATTCTCAATCAATATGCGTTGGATAATGCAAGTCTTCATCTTCACGAAAAAGATTACACCTTTTCATCTCCAATCATTATCACAACACACCCGATCCAACAAATATTCACCAAAACTAAAGAAAGAAAATTAGAAGACTAAAAAAATAACTCATCACCTGTAATCTGAACTTGGCGGGAAATTGCCTCCGGAGAGGATCTCAGAGGCCTCCACGTGTCTCTGCTCGTCCTCGACGTTGCTCCCGTAGTCGCTCTTCACCGACCACGAGTCCGCCGCCACCGACCGGTCGTCGTCCGACACGAGATCCGCCGCCATTACCGTCGACATCGGATCCGAAACCCTAACCCTAACAAACAGAGAGAGAGAGAGAGAGAGAGAGAGAGAGAGAGAGGATTGGTCTCCGGGGTTGCAGGAACGATTCTCTCTTTGGAGAGGGTCCGGTTCTTTTTTATTTCGATCGGCGGAGACGCTTCCTCGGTTTTGTCAAAGCTATCAGATTGGGGCCTGGGTTTGGGATGTAATTACGATAGTGGCAGGTT